AGGGGACTACAAATCACAGCAATAGTACATTATAGCATAATGTACTATTGCTACATTCCTCTATAGCAGCTGGTATTCTGCACTGCGCCGCTGTATAATGTACTATATTGCACAGCACACTCTTTTTTTACTTCCACCACGCCAAGCTTGTTCCCGTGATGGACTACAATTTCAATAGAAACTAGTAGTCCATCACTGGAGCCTTTTTAAAAAAAATCCGATTCACCAAACTTAATCGGCTAACTAAGCGATTATGAAAATAATCGTTAGCTGCAGCCCTAATTTGTACCATGTGTTTTTGCTGGATTTTTGGTTGATATTCTGTCTCTATCATTTAAAATACACCTATGATAAAAATTATAGACCTTTCATTTTTTTGTAAGTGGGCAAACTTACAAAATCTGCAGGGGATCAATAATTATTTTCCACACTGAGCACCATGAATCCTCAATGCACTCTCCTCCTATAAAATGCCTAGCTATCTCCTCCAAGCTTCATTGTTGGATTGACAAGATTGTGTAATACAACATTGTCTGACTGGCAAAGACTAAATTTAGGTTTAGCAGGGGATTGTGAAAAGATAATATAAAAAGGATAGACTTTGGCAGTTACACCACCTGTATTTGAAATGTATTTAACACAATAACCCAGGCAAAAAGCTATATACAGTAGTAAGTTTACATGCAAACATACACCCATTAGCCACATTATGACCATGTGCCTAATATTGAGTAGGTCCTCCTTTTTCTGCCAAAACAGCCCTGACTCATCATGGCATGGACTCCACTAGATCTCAGAAAGTATGCTATGGTATCTGGCACCAAGCCATCAGTAGCAGATCCTTTAAAGTGATATGAAAGTCTATTTTTTTTCTCCTTTAAGGAGACCCTCCTTTGCTGGAGGCTGTTGCTCTTTTTCTTTAAAAGTTTCTATTTCCTCGTTTTCTAGTGGCTCCCCGCAGCGATTTTCCCGCCCACCCCCTGCATGGGTGCCACCATCGTTCTAGTGGAGGCACCCATGCGCGCTCGTGACGCTCGTTTCCGCAGTGGCTGTGTGCGTCCATAGACACACACACAGCCCTGTGGCAGGCCACGCCCCTTCCCTCTTTGACTGATGGTAGAAGGAGCCTATGGCACCTCTGCCATCAGTATCCTCCCCCCGCAACCCGGAAGTTCAGGGAACAGAGGATCGCTTCAGACCAGCGGCGGGGACGAGCGCAGCTGACAGCTAAGTGTTGGGGGGACTGGGGTAGAAAAAAAGGTGCTGGGCCGTTTTTACCCTAATGCAGAGAATGCATTAAGGTAAAAAAAAAGCCCAGACCGTAATACTACTTTAAGTCCTATAAGCTGAGAGATGGGGCCTCCATGGATCCGACTGTTTTTTCCAGCACATCCCACAGATGCTCAATTGGAGAATTCGGAAGCCACATAAACGCCTCAAACTCATTGTGTTCATCAAACCATTCTTCAACTATTTTTGCAGTGTGGCGGGGTGCATTATCCTGCTAAAAGAGGCCACTGCCATCAGGAAATACTGTTTCCATGAAGGGGTTTACTTGGTCAGCAACAATGTTTTGGTAGATGGTACATGTTGAATTCACATACACATTAATGGCAGGACCCAAAGTTTGGCAGGACCACCTATGAGTGGTCATAATATAAATCTGTATAGCAAATTGCGAGGAGAATTTATCAAAACTGGAGCGGACAGAATCTGGAATGGTTGCCAACACTAACCATTCAGCTTCTCTTTTTAGTTTGTTTAGTTAAGCGTTTTAAAAAATGAAAGACAGAAACCGATTGGTTGCCATGGGCATCTGCTCCAGTTGTGATAAATTTCCTCAAAGTGCTTTCCACATTGCACAGCAGACAGGTGACACATGTAGAAGCAATTCATCCTCCTAGTTCACCAATTTGGTTTCCAATGACACTAACACTCCAGGCTCGTCATTTGACAGTGAATTGGCATCATCAACGCTTTCCAGTAAACAAGAAGCTGACAAAACGCATCCGTAAAGCTAACTGAGGAAGCATTAATACTAAATAATGAAGTAGCAGAGTGATCTGACAGACGAGAGGACGGTGGAGCCCGACGAGCAGCTTCCCGGCCGGCTGTTGTAATTACACGGTCGGCCGCTTTACATTCAAGCGATCGGGCGTCTCTAGAGACGCTCGATCGCTTGTATTAGCAGCTGTTTAGCAGCTACGTGCGAAAACGACGATTGCGCCTATTGTGCCGCACATGTTACATATCGCCGCAAACGTCGGAGTGAGAGCAATAATTTTAGAGCCATTACTCACTGATAACACTAAACAGATGAGCAGTAAAAGCATTTTAATCGTCGCCTATGGGCGTTTTTTGCGATTTTGCGGCCGCAATTTTAAGGCTTGACATGTTTGGTGTCTATTTACCCGACGTGACCCTGACTTTTGTGTTTTACCAAAAATATGTGTAAGAATAAATGTTTTATAACATAGTGTAGGGAAACTTTTTTTTTTTTCTTTTACATTTTCTGTACTTTTTTTATAAAACGTGGGGAAATTTTAAAAAAATGTATGGTATTTTTTTCATTATATAGTTAAAAAATACCCCCCCAGTGGTGATTATATACTTCCAAAAGAAAGCTCTATCTGTCCCCAAAATGTCTTAACATAAATTGCAATATATATATACACATACACACACACACATATATATATATATATATACACACACATACATACATACATACATACATACATACATATACACACACACACGCAGTAACAGGAAGGGAAACAGACGGCACTACAGGCCATTTGCTCAGGGGTCTTATTGTGTGTTTAGCTATGTATCTGAAAATCCACTTGAATAATAAACGGATGGATAACAAAAGTTCTTTCTGAATATTTTCTGATGTTGTGCTGTAAAGAGAATTTACATTAGTTCTGCACATATTTATAATTGCCTTTATTTATTACGGACAGTACTAAAATACATACAGAAAATGTAATTAAAACTAAATGAAAACATTTAGTAGGTTTCTTTTTTTTTCCTACTGACGCAAGATAAGTATGTCACTTCCTACTGTACCCTCCACAGAGTAAAATCTACAGGAACAGAGAGACATTGGAATTGCTGTAGCAAGGTGGTGGGTCTCAGAGATGTGAAGGAAAAACCTCAAGGCTAGAGACACATATCCAATCCTCTTATCAAGCTTTTTTTCCCCCATTTTTATATATAAATATTAAAAGGAGAACTATGGGGTTAGGGCTTTTCCCCATAGTTCTAATAAGGAAAACAGGAGGACACAAACTAGCGTCCTCCCGTCACCCTAAGCTCAGTATACCGCGAGCTACAGCTCGCAGTATACTGAGACGCCGCAGCTGAAACGGATCCTGACAATTATGTCTGGATCCACCCAGCTGCGTGAGTGACAGCTGGCTCTGCCTATCTAGAGGCAGAGCCAGCTGTACCCGCCCCCTCCCCAGTCCGTTCCGCCAGTCAACGCTGGAGGATCGGAGCGGCGAGGGGGGAATCCAGTCCCTCCCCTGTCACAGCTCTCTGCCGTGACAGGATCGAGAAGTGAGCGAACGCCGGTATGTGTCCGCTCACTTCCCGATCTACTGAGCCGACCTGTGACAGTTTCATTGTCACAGGTCGGCTAGAACTATGAGGATGAGTGAAAAGCACTCACCTCATAGTTCTCCTTTAAGCACTGAGCAAGCCTTCTCCATAAAGGCAGAGAATAGGGCTTGTCAACATCCAAGCTCTAATTTGATTTGCCACTGACTGATTTTCCTGTGGTGCCATGCTTCCTTTTATTCCGATGACAGTAGTGCAAATAGAATGGAGCTGTGACAGCATACATCGGTTGCACTGAAATACTTGCAGAGAACACAGATTTCCTCTGACCGGCAGTGCCGCGAGGGAACATGGAGCCGGCTTCCTAGTTGGCGGGGAAGCTGGCTCGATGCTGTTTGGCTTCCCAGCCAATCAGCATTGAGCCAAACAGCACGAAGTCGGCTTCCCGGCCAATCAGAAAGCTGGGCGGTGGGTCATGACCCACCTTCCCGGCTTCCTGATTGGCTGGGAAGCCATCTTTCTGGCCAATCAGCGTTAAGCCGGCCAAACAGCATGGAGCCTGCATCCCAGCCAATAAGAAAGCCAGGCGGCGGGTAATGATATGCCTCTCAGCTACCCGATTGGCTGGGAAGCCGGCTCCATGCTCCCTTAAGTACCGCTATCAGTATCGGCGAGTACCGAAAGATAAATATTGGTACGCGTACTTGATACCGAAAAAACGGTATCGGTGCATCACTACAATGAATGATCCGTAATAATCTCTAGTCGATATAATGTGAAGGGTTTACCCACCATTAATATAATAATCCATTTTACCCCAGTTTATGAATGCATAACTTCTGCTACATCAACAGTAAATTAAAATGACACGTAAACTTTTACGTATTATATCAAAAGAGGAACATTTGGAAAACAGTTCTGTAAATAGAGAAATAATACAGTCAAGTAAAATATAGCAATTTTCTCTTGCATGAAAGGGATATAAAAAGGCAACAAACACTTGCAAAGAACGCAATACTGAGAAAAGGGGACTCAGTCAAAAGTACATGATCACAGTTTAAAAAAATGTATTGTAAGAAGTACAATGAAACCACCCCAGTGTCATATTCGTTACATTAAAAAAATAAGTTATATTTAAATGTTGAAATGTCATTATGCAACAAGACTTTGAAGTTCACTTTGATAGTTTTTCCTTCCCCAAGGAGCTCATTACTGGTATTTTGGTGGAGACAGCACTGCTGACAGAAACAGGCCCCCTTATTAAACATTTTCTTTAATATAGGGCTCTCAGCAGACTTAATCATGTCATTTACAAGCCCAGCTAACAATATCAGTTGGCATATTGAAGATAAAGGCTTGATGTTCCCTTCTGCTAAGGTTTCATTGTAGTCAGTTTGTAAAGTAACAATGGAGAGTGTTCATTATTTATTACTTACCAAGTCCTAAAAGATCAATGGTCATTTCTGGGGCTTTCTTTGGACTGGCTTTAACCTCTAACTGTGGTTCCTTTTTCAATACCTGTGAAAAGCAGCAAAGCACTCATTAATTAGGCACTTAAAAGAAGATAACGGCACATTTATGCTTTCCTGGTGTATTTAATACAGTCTGTAATAGTTGGTAGAAGCACATTCTAACCTCTTCTGTAGCACATAATGCAGTGCAAACTGATTCTACCAAAGACATAATTGCCAACTACAACATAATGAATTCGTTCTCTTAAAAAGTAAACTCTCCTGACCCATTTAAAATTCTGGCAGTGACAGAATCACTCTTCAAGTAAAATGTAGTACTAGGCAAATTATCTGAACGCTTATTTAGGTTTGCAAATGCTGGTGAAAAATAAAACTCAGCAATTCTAAGAAATATGATTATAAAAGTATGTTAGCATTCACATTTCACACAGGTAACAATTTAGGACAATTCACACAGGTTTGTAAAAACTAGAACAAGTGAGCTATATATGAATAGTCATAGTAGGAACCCAAAGGCACCATTTTAAATATAAATGTAAAGAAGATATTTACACCACAGGTTTGTATAGAAGATGGTGAATACATTGCCTTATATTCCAGCACTATAAAGTCCCATGACATGTGTTCTTTTTCTGCACTCCATGCTCTCTGCTTGGGTATATGCCTCTTAGCAAAAGCTTCTCTGAAATCGACCCTTAAAAAACTGCTGGGTGAAAAATGTACCTCTGTAAACTTATCTTGAAATCTTCAGCTGTGAAGTTCTCAAGCCTGCAAGTGTCCCAAGATGAAGATGCCACTATTAAGGCAGCTAGGGATTTTGCTGGCTCTAAAGAAGTCTCTGGGGTTTCAAAGACAAGTGGGCAGTGCAGTGTGTTGTAGTGTGTGTGTGTGTGTGTGTGTGTGTGTGTGTGTGTGATTAAAAATTGTATTTAAAGAAGGCAATGAAAGCTAGAGGATGACAGGACCGATAAGTGCATGGTGTCATGATTTAAACATTACTTGCATTATCTACACTCTCTCCACTGTAACATTCTCAAATACCATGTGCTCACATTGATAGTTTGTCTTTATGTAAACCATTTCCAAAACAAAATTTTACAGAAATACGTACGGTGACATTATTTCATTTAGGTACGTATGCTGTTAATGAATGAATGAGTTAATGAATGAAAAGAAAAAAGTGAGAAAATAAATTGTTTTTGATCCTACTATACCCTTGGTAAACTATGCAAATTTAGTGCCCTAAATAGGATGGCAGGTATAGATAGTGGTGACCCAATTCAACGCAGATGTTAACCAGTTAACCTGCCACAGATGGCATGCTCAGAGCGTTACCATACAGAATAGCTGGGATACAGTCATACAAACAAAAGCTGACTGAGTGCCTTAATCACATAATTAATTTGAATCTTTTGGAAAGTGTGTATGTATATGCATGTTCCTCAGATGATTTGCAGCCAATATGCATGCAACTCTCAGGTAAGGATAATCACACAATGCAGGCAGACCTCCAGCTCCACCCAGTGAGTGATGACAACAAGTGAGTGCTCACCTGGGGAGGTAGACCTACAGAGCTAGGTCAAATGCGCTTTTTCCCTTCTTAATGGGGGAGGGAAGCCAATGCACAGAAAAGGCGATAAGGTCTCCTCAGATCACAGGTACCAGTATAAATCCAGGTGGAAAGAGAAAAAGGACAAGGACATAGTGCGTAACGTCCAATAAAATGCAATTTATTAAATAAAAAATGCGTATTCACAATGGTGTAAACAGTACAAGCATTGGGTATTGCTGGATCCAACCAGCAAGGCAAATGGCAGCAAAGAAATAAAAAACCTGTTCGTCCGTCTCAGCTCAGTGCAGTGACATCAGAAACTCTGCCCTGACTGGTCCCAGTCAGGATTTCAGAGTGTCCTGTATTTCACCTGAAGTAATTTGTGGGTTTTTCTATGCATCCCGAACAATTTTCCTGGCAGTTGTAGCTGACTTAGTTGGTCTACCTGACCGTGGTTTGGTTTCAACAGAACCCCTCATGTTCCACTTCTTGATTAGAGTTTGAACACTGCTGATTGGCATTCTCAATTCCTTGGATATCTGTTTATATCCCTTTCCTGTTCTATACAGTTCAAGTACCTTTTCCCGCAGGTCATTTGACATTTCTTTTGCTTTCCACATGACTCAGAATCCAGACACGTCAGTGCAGCACTGGATGAAGGATGCAAAGGTCTGTCAGGAGGCCAGAAACTCATTGGCCTTTTATACATACACACTGATTACATGCAAACAGATCACAGGTGAGGAAGGTTCCCTAACACCCCTTTGTGTCAACCTGTACGCATATTATCAGGCCAAAATCACCAGGGTATGTAAACTTTTGATCA